CAGAAGGCTGGCCTCTGGGCCACATGGTAGGGACCCCCTCATGGACAGAACCTTGCTTGCTGAGCCCCTCTGCCCTGCTAACAACTTTCACTGTTTGTCTTTGCAGTTGGAGTTCATGCTGCTCTCCGTGCCCCTTGGGTGGGCTTCCCTTATTTCTTGCAGACCTAGGCGTCCTCTGCTTGTTGCCAAGGCTGGTCCCTGGTGGGATGTCTGGGAGGAGACTGACTATATATGTCTGTGCCTTAAGCAATGGGCTTGTTGTTTAATATCTGTGTCTCTGTTTCTCTCTCCCACCTCCCTCCTGTCTCTCCACTCTCCTTGGCCTTGATTGGCCTCCCTGCCCTAGCCTGTCTCGCTGCTTGAGAAAGCCGCCCCCCAGTGGTGTCAAGGCAAACTGCAGGCTCATCTCGTAGCTCAAACTAACCTGCTCCGAAATCAGGTGACACTTGGCTTCTAACCTTGCATGTGCTGGTGCCTTCTGGACTGTCTTCCTGTACTCTTGCTGGGCACCTATGTTCAGCAGTCCTTTTGGGATTGGGTGGCAGGATTAGCTGGTGGCTGGAGGGCTGCATTGGGCAAGAGGTTGAGGGCAGGGAGGGCTTTCAGATGCTTTTGTGGGGCCAGCTACAACTTTAGGTGATACCTGAGGCCATATACTGGGGCACATTCATACTGAGTGGCTGTGGTTGATCTGGACCTGGGAACTGGCTCTGTCATCCAGTGATCCTGGAACCAAGAATGCCTTTCAGCCATATGTCCTCCCTGAAGTTTCCTAGGGGTAGTGGGAGGTGGGAAGATGGAATTAGGACTCCCTTCCCAACCTGCACTGTCCTTCAGACCTTGTAGAACCTAAGGTTATGTTGAATCTATTGAGACAAAACTGCTTAGAGAGGCATCTCTGGCCCTGGGTCCTGCAACTGGTGAGTGGCAGATGGGACTTTTGATTTAAGCTCCATGTTGTCAACCTGGCCTCTGGCTGGGGCTCTATGTGGTTAGGCCCTACCAGAGCACATCCAGAACTGGGGTCCCAGAAGTGACTCTAAAGGGAACCATAGGAGAGCTCTCTGGTCTGGCTAGGATCCTGAATTTGGGGGAGAAACCTTAGGCCTTAGATGTCGGATATCTATGATCCTGAAGATAGTTACCCTCTTCTCAGTTCCCTGTCCTTGGAATGGGGTGCTGTGTGGCTGGGGGCTGCTGGAGGCAGTACCAACATTAGGTGGGCCACAAGATATGTTCTCTGTGTTTCAGGTCAGTGTTAGCCTAACCCAATGAGTCTCTGGGATCCATCATTGTGAGAGGAGGGTTGGTGGGGAAGTTGCGCATGACCTAGGAGGTCAAATTTCTCCTGGGCTGCTGTCCCATTTTTCCTTGGCTACCTCATGTTTTCATCATCTTCAACCCACATATCGATTGCCTTGATAGGGGAGCTCCAGCTTATCATGGCTTGATGCCCAATTTCTTACCTGACCTTATGCTTGACTTCTTTCAGGCCAGGACTAGGGGATGACTTTGGAAATCCTGTCTTTGGAGGTTAGGGTCAGGCTGACCTTGGCTAACTAGGGCCTATGGAGGTGATGTGGGGGGTGGGGGGGGTGGAGAGAGTCTTGGAAAGGCCTGAGTCAGCTTTGGGAGGTGGAGCAAGCGTGAGGGATGAAGGGAGTGAGGCTACTGACTCTGAGCCAGGCATTCTTCATTTTGTTGTATGACAAACTGGAACATTTTTATTGAGTGGGAAAAGCCTCCAGGGGAGCTATAGGGCTGGGATGGAGCCTGCCTGCTGCTTTTGGGCTCCCGGGGTGGACATAGAGGTTTTGCGGGGAGTCTCCAGCACAGCAGGGAAGGCGGAGGCTGCATGATCACATCTTCAAATATTGGTCTGCAGATGTTTTGCCTTTCTACCAAATTGATCTTTCCTTGGTTCCCATTTTATTTGAATATGTCTCCCTCTTCTCCATGCATGTTTCAAAGCTGGAGAGACTTGGGATCTACCCACACTACGTGACTGTGAGCCTGGCACTTGGGGCTTTGGGGCTGCCCTGCTGTTGGGCTTTGGGGAGACTTTACATGCCCTTGGGCTGTGTTGGCTCCACGCACCCTCCGTGTTAGTTCCTTGGTGCTCTCTAGACTGGAAGCAGCCTTTTGAACCCAGCCTGAAGATCCAGATGGGTCTCTACTTGGCTCCATAGTGTGTTAGTGTGCAAGGCAGTTAGGAGCTGCAAGGCCTCCTTCATGTCGGACAGCCCCACCCATTTCCACTTAGCTGCCAGCCAACTCTTTCTGAAACAGACAGAATTTAGAGAATGTGATTCAAAGGGGAATGGAAAAGCAGGCCCTGATTTCTGGCATCTTGAAAGCTTTACATGCCCATTCTTTTCAGTGCTCCTGGGACCCCTGAGAAAGACCAGGGAGGATGATCTAGTCCTTGAAGTGTGCGTGTTTAGACATTTTTCCCATTTCATTATTATTATTTTGGGGGGGGCAGTACTGGGACTTGAACTCAGGGCTTGGGTACTGTCCCTTTGCTTTTTCAGCTCAAGGATGGTGCTCTACCACTTGAGACTCCTTTTATGGCTTTAGGTTGTATTGGGGGATGGGGAGGCAGGGGTTGGGGAGGATACTTATTGGAGATGATTCTTAGGGACTTTTCTTCCTGGGCTGGCCTTGAACTGTGATCCTAAGATCTCCTGTGTGAACCATTGGTGCCAGTCTCTACTCCACTTTCACATTTGATTAGAGTTTAAAAAGTCAATTTATTTGCACAAGTAAACTGGAGGTGACTAGTCTGAAGCTGAGGCTGCCCTCCTGTAGCTCCACCCATAGATCGCCAGGTGTACTGGGGTTACCAGCTCACCTTGGTTGGTGCTGGTGCCCAAAGCTGGGTGGAAGAGTTGGCTGGGCACAGGGAAATCATATACATTGGCAAAGTGGTGTGCTGTGGCAGCTGGCCTTGCCAGGAGAGGGTCCAGTCCCAGCAGGAGAACGTGAACGTGATGCTGAGAAAATGAAGTGGCTGGTGAGAAGTTCTCTCCTGGGTGGGCCTCTGCGTTCCTGGGCTATGACTCAGACCTGAATTTGAGTCATTGCCCTGAGTCATTCCCCAGAAGAGAGTCAACAGAGTCCTTTGGCACTGGCGTATTTGTGATTCGCCCTTCACTTCTGGCTGGGTACTGGGACCTAGCGCCACCACCTGGTAGCTATGAGCAGTGTTGAGATGCAGGGAGAGTTTTGGGCACAGGGCCACCAACTCCTTTCCACACCTTGCTGCCCCTTTAACCTTCCCTAGTAGTGCCTGAGCTGTTGCCTCTAGGCATGACAGGTCACAGAGGATATGAGAAAGACTCTCACAGAGACCAGAGGAGGCTGGTGGCAGAGGCAGAGTAGGTGTTACCCCTTAGGAAAGAACAAGAGTCCTCAGATGGGTCAGTGGAGCTGAGTGTCTGGGCTGAAACCTTACCCAGGGGTATTCATGTGGAAGTGGGTGGGGCCCCCGCCTGTTGGACACCAGGGTCTACCTGTATTGCTTAGCTTTCCAGGCCCCTTAGCTCTAACCCTCTTGTTATGCCCTCCCTCCTGGTGCATTGAGGCCGTATCAGGTGGTCTTGTTTCTTCCTAGAGCAGTCCCATAGGCCCAGCTATCCTGGGTGGGGATCCAGGCTAGGGATTGACTCCTGTACCTCAGGCACGAGGTTGGGGTGGGCTTTGGGAGTGGTCCTGGCTAGGGCTGGCTGGGACCAGGGTTCAAAGAGGATTAGGTTATGACCCTTCCTGCCTGCTCCTCATCCCAGGCAGAGGAGGAGCTCATCAAAGCCCAGAAGGTATTTGAGGAGATGAATGTGGACCTGCAGGAGGAGCTTCCATCCCTGTGGAACAGGTGAGGCGTCGAGAGCCCTGAGTGCCCAGTGGTGTATATGTATGCTTTCCCAGTGTGTGTGTGTGTGTGTGTGTGTGTGTGTGTGTGTGTGTGTGTGTGTGTGTGGTCATATGTGGTTTTCATCAAATCTCTCCCTCTGGCAGCCGAGTAGGTTTCTATGTCAACACGTTCCAGAGCATCGCAGGACTGGAGGAAAACTTCCACAAAGAAATGAGTAAGGTAGGCCAGGCAACCCTCTGCCTGGGGCCTGTAAGTCATGACACTGGGGCTGAGGGTGGCTGTCAGAGGCGTGGGTGGCGCAGCTGAGCTCCATCTCCTTGCAGGCCTTGGGCACATTGGTGACCATAGTACCTCCTCTGGGCCTGGGTTGAGCCCAGCTCAACTCAGCTGTGGTAGTCCCTATCCAGCCCTCCACCCTCTTCAGTCTTCTTGCCTGGAAGGGCTGGCAAGTGTGGCCCAGCTCCTTTCAGACTGTAAATATTTTCTCAGGTCACCCTGGCAAGGAAGCTCAGGATAGAAATGGTGTTTCCCCAATCCCTAGGAATACAAGTAAATTACTGGAACTGTCTCTCTATCTGTCTCTGTCTCTGTTTGCCTTCCTTCTTCCTTCCAACCCTCCCTTCCTTCTTCCTTCCTGTCTGACTTCCTTTCTTCCTTCCTTCTGTCTTCTTCATTCTATCTTCTCCCTCCTTTTCTCCCTCTCTCCTTCCTTCTTTCCTTCCTTCCTTCCTTCCTTCCTTCCTTCCTTCCTTCCTTCCTTCCTTCCTTCCTTCCTTCCTTCCTTCCTTCCTTCCCTCTCTCTCCTATATTTCTCCCCTCTCCTTCCTTCTCTCCCTCTCTCCCTCCCTCCGTCCCTTTTCTTCTCCCTTTCTCTCTCTGTTTGTAATGGGGTTTGAACTTAATGGCTTGGTATGTATTAGGCTGATTCTCTACCACTTGAACCACTCTTCAGCTCTGTGTTTTCCTGGCTATTTTCATGATAGGGATTCTGTAACTTTTCTGCCTCAGCTGGCCTCCAGCCATGCCCAGTGTTAGCTTTTGGAGTAGTTAAGATCACAGGCATGAATCATTAGTTCCGAGCTTCAATTTTATTTTATTCTCCTGGGATTCTTAAGATGTTGAAACAGACCTGTGTCAGACTTTGCCATAATCTGATCAGCTTACATTTCCATGTTGTGTTAGTTTCATTTCATTCTAACTTTTCAACTGGAAATGCCCTGATCCATGCAGTAGGTAGCTTTGACTTTGTCTCTTGGGCCTAGAGAAAGGAGGGGATGTTGAATTCTGAGTCCCAAGTGGAGGAGGAAACACCAGCTTGGGGCCTTTCCTGACATATGACCCTAACTAGGATTTCCTGCTTTTTAGGGGCTTTTCTCTTCTTCCTGTTTTCCCCTCTTCCCTTCAAAGAGTTCAGGAAACTTATGAAAAGTTGGAAAAACAGAAAGAGGTGTTTTAGGGAGGGTTATTTTTGTGTATAATCAGTCTATGGAAATATATGCCCACAAGACAGTTGTGTATATTTGTGAGGAAGGTCAGCACAGAGGTTCTGAGTAGCCAAAACAAAGAGAAAATATTTCAGGAATGAGAAGCGAAATCTCCTTTTCTGTGCTTTGGGTAAAATCTCTGGCAATTGTTGTATGATCTGAAGACATCTTGGCAAAGTTAGGGTCAGCAGTAAATTTGTGAGCACAATTTTATTTTTCCTGGTTGTGGGGCTTTAACTCAGGACCTGTGTACTGTCCCTGAGCTTTTGTGCTCAAGGCTAGTGCTCTACTGCTCTACCATTTTGAACCACAGCTCCACTTCTAATTTCTAGGTGGTTAATTGGAGATAAGAGTCTCACAGCTTTTCCTGCCCGAACTAGATTTCTGCTTCCTGCATAGTTAGGATTATAGGCATGAACCACGTGCTCAGCTGCAAGTGCAATTTTTTTTTTTTTTGTCGGTCATGGGGCTTGAACTCTGGCCCTGGGCGCTGTCCCTCAGCTCTTCAGCTCAAGGCGAGTGCTCTACCACTTGAGCTACAGCTCCACTTCCGGTTTTCTGGTGGTTTATTGGAGATAGGAGTCTCACAGTCTCTCCTGCCCGGGCTGGCTTTGAACCGTGATCCTCAGATCTCAGCCTCCTGAGTAGCTAGGATTACAGGCGTGAGCCACCAGCGCCCGGCAAAATAAATGTGATTTCTTTTTTGGGGGAAGGGGGGTCCGGTTGTGGGGCCTGAATTCTGGACCTGGGCACTGTCCCTCAACTCTTCAGCTCAAGGCTAGCGCTCTACCACTTGAGCCACAGCGCCACTTCTGGCTTTTTTTTTTCTTTTTGCTTATGTGCTGTTGGGGAATCGAATCCAGGGCCTCATGCGTGCAAGGCAAGCGCTCTACCACTGAGCCACTTTCCCAGCCTGCAAGTGCAATTTTTAAGGAAAAAGTGCCACCAGGTCAAGCTATGAGTGGTGTGCTGAGAAAGCCTTAGGAGTAGCAAGAAAAGATGGCCCTAGCAATGATAACCCTGTCCTTTCCCCGCTTTTGCCTGCCTGGGTGTGGCATGCTGGTCCCAGCTCCCAGTGGTGATGAAGCCAGGGTTGGGAAAGGAAGAAACTGGTATCTTGGGGAAGGTATGGCTTCTTGGTGGCCCTGGAGCCCCCCACCAGCTCTTTCCTGACTGCTATTTTCCTGCAGCTCAACCAGAACCTCAATGATGTGCTGGTCAGCCTGGAGAAGCAGCATGGGAGCAACACCTTCACAGTCAAGGCCCAGCCTAGGTGCGTGAGTGCCGGCAGGTGGGCAGGGTGGGACTATGCCATGTCTTCTCTTTCCTGTGGGTTGGCCCCAGAGCTCTGAGGATCTTCCTGTATTGGCCTTCAACTCAGGAGGCAGAGGAGATCAGGTCACTTGTCTTCTGGAATCTCATTCCTAGGTGGTATTGCTGGAGGAAGGATTGTTTGGGGGAGCCTGCAGGTCCCTGAGTCAGTGCCTCCTGTTTGGGTGGAGGCGAAGTTTAGCTCTGTGCGGCCAGGGCTGAGTGTTCCTGGCAGGGGCAGTCTTTCAGCGAGCTTGAAGGAACTCTCCAGAGCTGGGTGCAGACTCTGCCTCTCCTCTGGAGGCCCCAGTTCCAGAATGGTGTACTGAACCCTGGCTTCTGTCCTGCCCAACCCCTCAGGAGCAGCTGCCAGGAGGTTCCCATTTCCTGAGGGGAAACCACAAGGAGCGGGGCATGCCTTCTGCTTCTGGCTGAGACCCAGAGGAAACACAGGCTTTCTCTTCCTTTCTATGTGTGTGTGTGTGTGTGTGTGTGTGTGTGTGTGTGTGTGTGTGTGTGTAAGAGAGAGAGAGAGAGAGAGAGGAGGGAGAATTGGAGTGAGTTTATGAGAATGAGTGCAAGTGACTGGATGTGAATGTGCATAGGAATGTTTGTGAGACTGAGTGTGTGTGGGGTGTGAGTGTGTGTGTATGAGCACATATGCTGATGTCTGTGTATGGGGGTGTGAAGATGTATGGATAGGGTGTGTGTGGAGGAGTGAGCACTTGTAGGAATGTGTAGATGGGGGTTTAAGTATATAGGTATGTGTGTATATGGGTCTGTGTGACCATGTATGGGTTGTGTGAATGTGTGTGTGTGTGTGTGTGTGTGTGTGTGTGTGTGAAATATGTGGAACGTATGTATGGATGAGTGTGTCAGTATATGTGTTACATGTATGAGAGTGTGTGAGTGAGTATGGTGTGTGTGGAGGGTGTGAGGTGAGCATAAACATGAATGGGGTGTGTATATGGGTGTTTGTGTGTAGGTATATAGATGTGTGTATGAGGGGAAAATGTGTGTGTGTGTGTGTGTGAGTACAGGGTATGTGGTGTTTGGAGTGGAAGTGAGTGAGTGTGTGGTTGTGTGGTGAGTGCATGTGGGGTGTTGACACATGTACATATCAGCGTGCAGAGAGCTTTGTAAGCCTGGCCTTTCTATGTGTTTGTAAATGGAGCAACGGCCATTTGCTTGAGAGACTACTGAGATGCTGCCCAGGACTAAGGATTTCAGTGAACATTGTTGCTCCTGTGTCCCCCGAAAATATTATAATGAGTGTGGCCGAGGGGCCTGCAGGTGCCCTGAGGCATTAGAGGGGAAGGGTGGAATGAATAAGGCCAAAGGTGAGTCTGTGATCACTGAGGAGGAACAGGAAAATGTGCAGGCCGGGTGAGGGGAGGGGCATCCAGGGCAGTGTAGCTGGTCCCGCAGGAAAGGGGTCCGAGGGAGGCAATGCAGGCTTCTCATCCTGCGTCCCACCAAGGTGGTCCAAAGGGCAGCCTGGTTCACCTGGTGGCCCCTGATTCCTGGCCCCTTTCTGGCTGTCTGGCCTGCTGGCAGGGTGCCTGTCCCATTCCTCAGTCTCTTGGAGCCCCACAGGCTCTGTTTGTACCTAGCAGCTTCACACAAGCCCTGGCTTGTGTGGCTTTTGCCCTTTGCCCTCCTCTGCCCAGAAGAGAGGAAGAGGAAGGGCCAACCCTCTACCTGGCCATCCCCATGCCCATATGCCATCCATCCCCACAGAAAGAAAACTAAACTGTTCTCGCGGCTGCGCAGAAAGAAGAACAGGTACCGCAGAGAGTGCAGTGCCACCCTGGTCTCAGTGCCCTGCCCTGCTCTGCCCATGCATGTGCCCTGCTGCCAGGGCCCACTAACTCCTAACCCTCCCTCCCCCGCACGAGTGTGGGGTCGCTCTGGGACAGGCTGTGTGGCGTGTGTGTGGGAGGGGCCTGAGGAGTGAAGGGTTGCCAGGAAGGAGGAGGTGCAGAGCACGCATCTGCGGTTCTGCTCCAGTGTAGTACAGTATTCTGCGCACACTGGTAGCCAGCTCTGGGCTGTTGTTGCCTGATGGCCAGTGACTTTCAGGTGGAGAAGGTAGCAGGTCAGGAGGCCTAGAACAGCCAGAAAGGGGGACGTCGTACATCGAGGTTTTAAACATCACCTGTGTACTCATGTTTTATGCTGCAGTGTATTCCTTAGGGAGGCAAATTTATTCTGATAAAACACTAATCTACTTTTTGTGTGTGGGTGCTGGTGTTTGGGCTTGAACTCGGGCTAGGGCACTTTCTCTTAGTTTTTTTTTTTGCTCAAGGTTAATTCCGTAGCACTTGAGCCACAGCTCCACTTCTGGCTCTTTGGTGATTAATTGGAGATAAGCCACCTGCCCAGGCTGGTTTTGAATATCAAATATCTAGTCCTTAGATCTCAGCCTCCTGAGTAGCTAGGATTTCAGGCTTGAGCCACACTACTCTAAATAAGCCCAGCTCTTACTATGTTGTCAGTTCCTATTGTCCTCCTAGATCTGTGTACCACCTATATTGTTATCCAGCTGTCTGCTGTGGGGTTTGAACTTAGGGCTTGGTTACTGTCCTTGAGCTTTTATCCTCAAGGCTAGTGCTCTACCACCTTGAGCCACAGCTTTGCTTCCATATTTCTGGTGGTTAATTGGAGCTGAATGTCTTACAGATTTTCCTGCCCTGCCTGGCTTTGAATGGCAATCCTCAGATCCCAATCTTATAAGTAGCTAGGATTACAGGTGTCAGCCACCAGTGCCCAGGGCCACTCTTGAGTACTTGAATGTGGCCCTGTGACTAAGAGGCTGAGCTTGTAGTGAAGTAGACTGTGGGCTAGTGGCTATTGGATGGCACTGTTCTACAGTTGTCTTATGTAAGTGCAGAATTGTATCCTCTGCACACCCTTGGCTCTGTGATTTTCCAGGAGGACCCTGTCCTCTTCTCTGGCACCTGCCATCCCTCCTCGGTGAAGCCATAGCTCTTTGGTCATCCTGACCCTGCTCAGGGCCTCCTGTGGTTTTTTGATGGTTCCCAGGGTGTATAGTTAGAAATAGTTACTGGGCTGAGAGAACCAGGGAGTGAAAGTCTGGAGACCCTGAGGGTGCTGGGTGATGGGCTGTGGTCCATCTACGCTAATGGGTAGAGATGGATAGAGAGGCATCCCAGAAGGCTGTGAGGCAGTTGGGGGAGTGTCCTAAGTGGAGGGATTGGTGAGTGATGTGGTAGAGACTTACCTTGCCTCTAGAATGTAGAGTATTAGCTTGTTCTTGCTGTGGCTCTCAGTCCTGTGACTTTGGATGGAGCTCAGTGAGACCTTGCCTCCAGGCAGGTACAGGTCCCGCCCTTTATTACTACCTCTTTCCCATAAAGAAACACAACTTCACACAAGGATCTGTGGGCTCACACAAACTCACATGTAAACGCGTCTAAGTATGTAATTACATGATGTGGACATATGCATGGGCAGTGTAGGGTTCACAAGGCTTGCACATGTACACACGTACATGGATCCACAGGGCTCATACATGTACAGCCATTACGTTCCACAGGCATCCTTGGATACCTGTGCACAATCCTATTCGCACAAACCTTGTTTATCCCCTCTCACACCATGACCTGACATTGGGGTGCTTTTCCTGTCCTGCCTCCACAGTGACAACGCCCCTGCAAAAGGGAACAAGAGTCCTTCGCCTCCTCCAGATGGTTCTCCTGCAGCCACCCCTGAGATCAGAGTGAACCACGAGCCGGAGCCAGCCAGTGGGGCCACACCTGGGGCCACCATCCCCAAGTCCCCATCTCAGGTAGGCGTGATGTCTTTGTGGTTTGTTTCTTCTCTTCCTCTGCCTCCTCTGTCATCTCTTGAGGAGCCTGGGCCTGGGTCTCTGTGGGCTTCACCCAGCCCAGCTGGCTCAGTGGCCCTTGTGTGCCTCAGAGGGCATATGTATCTGTGTCTCTCCAGATGCCCCTACATCTTTCCTGCACTGCAGTGCCCTCCTGGCCTCTCTCTTTTTGGCCTCTTGGCTGCTTGACAGTTCCCCTGTCTTCCTTTTCTCCCTCCACAGATTCTCTGGGCCCTTGGCCCCCAGAGTATCCAGTCTGTCCATGCCTTCCTTTTCTCTTTGGAAGGGGCTGAGGGAGGACCCTCATCTGGTGGCTGTGCAGGACCTTGAAAGGCACAGCAGGAGGAAAGGCTCAATGAGGAGTGGGGCGCTAGGGGCCAAGTTTGGGTCTCCAGATGGTTCTGTCTCTACCCTGCCCTGCCTCATCTAGCTCTAGTAGACTCCCTGTGAACTGGCAGCTGAGTGGGGATGGAAAAGACATGACCTTTAGCTTGAGGATGCCAGTGCGAAGGGCAGTGGGCACAGTTTTGTGCCTAGATGCTTTTTAGAGGCTGGACCTTGTGCCAGCCAATGCCTTCTACTCCCTAAACCACCTCATACAGCGAGACTGTTAGCATTGCATTCCACATGGGAGGGAGCCCAGGCTTGAGGCCGAGACCTGCCTGAGGGCTCCACATGTCTGGCAGGGGCCTGGTTTCATGAGCCAATAGCCTGGCCCAGAGTGGTAGAGGGAGGTCCTGTGGGAGGGCAGAGATTGGCAGGGGCAGGGGTGTCCTGGCTGCCTGTCAGCCAGGAGTTACCTCCTAGGTGGGTAGGGCCAGACTCTCCCCTAGTGTGCCCTTGAGACATACTTGTTTTTCCTTCTTTTCTCTCCTCTTTCCCTCTGTCTCCTCTCTCCTTTCTTTCTGCACAGCATCTCTGGACTTCCTGCTTCAGTGTCCTTCCTGGGGGTGGCTTGCAGTGTCTGTCTGGGGCAGTGACTCTTTGTCTACTCTTCTTTAGCGGCTTGGGTAGAGCCATGACTTGGGGTGTGACTAACCGTGCTTTGTCTGTCTCCCTACCCCCGTGATCTTCTGTGCTTCCGGTATTCCCCCGTGCCCTTTTGCCCTGCCAACCCACAGCTCCGGAAAGGCCCACCTGTCCCTCCGCCTCCCAAACATACCCCGTCCAAGGAGGTCAAGCAGGAGCAGATCCTCAGCCTGTTTGATGACGCGTTTGTCCCTGAGATCAGCGTGACCACCCCTTCCCAGGTCAGCCGCAGCCACCGCGGCCTTGTCTTTTCCCACTTCTTGCTCTCTTAGAGCATGCATGGCCTTCATCCATCCCATGGCCTGTGCTTCTGTCTCAAGAGTCAAGAATCTGGCCAGAGACATTGTCCTGAGCCTCCTTCCTTGACCCATCCATCCTTCTCATTTTCCATTGGCCTTTCCTCATCATTGTTCATCCATCTCTGAGCATGCACTGTGGCCACATTCAGGGACAGAGATGAAAGGTGTCCCCAGTACCACCCAGGGGTGACAGTTAGCTTTCAGATGGCTTTATGATGTGATTCATGCTATGGAGAGCTCAGGACCGTTTGCCCTGTTGAGGTTGTGTAGCTTTAGCCTGAGGAAGCAGTGATAGGCCAGGAAGATAATAGAGGGGTCAGGTGTTAACAGTGAGCTGCTGCTCATCAACTCCTAGAGAGGCAAATCATGCGTGCTCACAGATGGATAAGAGGAGAGCCAAGCAGAGGGAACAGCATTTGGGGTAAAACACTTGTTAGCACCAGAGTGAGTACACACGCTGTCAGATCAGCTCAGGGGTGACACGGTTTCCTGGGATCCGTTGAGAGCTTTCCTCCTATGGAGGTGGCCAGCCCAAACTGTGGAGGACTTGGCTAGGTGCCCTGGGGTTGCTGGGCTCTGCCTGGGTACCCTGCCCAGGAGTCTGTAGCCTCTTCCTCCAGCAGGCTTCTGCTCTTGGAGACCTGGAAAGGTCTCTGAAGGCATGTGTGGGGGTGGGCTTGGGGAGGGTGGGTGGGTGGGCTTCTAGTCCTCATGGAAGGACTTTGTGTTGGAAATAGGAACTTTAAACACAAAATGGCTTGAGGAGCCGAGGGCTCCCAGCAGTCCTGAGGGGAGGGCGGCACAGAGGTATGTAGTATGGGTGGGGATGGAGCCTTGCTTGCCCAAGATCACCTGTGTCTCTGGGGCACCTGGGCAGGTGATCAGTGTGTGTTCAGACAGAGAAGACAGGAAGAGGGTTAGCAAATAATGAGCCACGTACTTGCTCCACTTTGCTTGGCTTTCAGATACCCTGTGGTAGTAGAGTCACTGCTCCCGTTTAACTAGTGAAGGTTCTGTGACTACAGACTGCCCCATCTAGGCTCCATCTGTGCTTGTCCCTCACGTCACCACATGCTTGCTTTGCTCTTGTGCCTATTCTCAGCGAGCTGTTTAGGGTGGGAATGCCATTTGTGTTGGGTGTACTGCATGGGGCAGGGATGGGCTTGTCTTCCGTGCCCACAAAGGTGCCAACAGTCTTCTGTGCTGGGTTGTGGTGAGTAGCTTTTGTCCTTGTGAGGAAGGAGTCTCACTCTTACATGGTGAGGGGTCCTTGCCTGGGGGGAGGCCTTCAGAAGATGGTCTGGGCTCTGGCTGATGAGCACCCTTTACAGCAGCTTAGTGCTGCTATTGGGTTTGGCTAAGTTCAGAGAAGCGAGGGAGGGTTTTGTGAAGGTAGAGTTGTGGAGAGATGCCCACCTTCAGTGGGTGAGAGACACTTAGTGGTAGGCTGGCTTCTAAGGGTTCTGAGTGCTTAATCTTTAGCCCCCTGGTTCTGGGGAAATGTGTCCACTTGACCTGGGCTCTAATGGAAGACCTGTTGCTATGGGTCCTTTGGTCCCTAGTGTTCTTAGGACTGCAGAATCATCTCTGGGGAGCTGCTGGCCATACTCCTAGGCCTTGGATACTTCTTGATGGAGACCATTGGGTGGACACGAGCCTAGTGCACCCTCTTCCCTTCAGTGCTGGGTACCCATCCAGAGCAGGTGGAATTGGGAAGCTGTTAGCTGGGCCCACAGGTGCTGGGCCTCCCAGAACCTCATGTTAAGCTGTAAAGGGACAGTCTGAGTCACACCCCTCTTTGGGATCTGGGCAGAGCCCTCCCTGGCCCTAAAAAGGACAAGTACATACAAGATGAAGGCTTGAGCCCAGCTATTACCTCGTTGAAGGCAGAAGCTTCCTTGCCTCCCTCCAGCTTCTGCCTATTGAGTCAATCATTGCTGCCCCCTCCAGAGCTTCCCATGATTGTCTGGGAGGCTCTGCCTACTTTGTGCACACTGCTGGGTTATGATCACTGAGGCCTTCAAGAGTCCTGGGGTAGCTGCACTGGGCGGTGGTGGTGCCGCAGTTGTGACCCAAGTACTCCCAGTGGTGCTGAAGCCCTCAGACACTGGGTCCCCACTTTTAAGATTAGGCCCTGAGGCTATGTAGGCTGCTCCTCAGCTGGTCCTGACTGGTAGATGGGTGTCAGCACAAGGTGACCTGGCTGAGGAGCCCAGGAAAAGATCCTGGGGTCTTCTGGTTGATGGACCAATGTGGTCATGTCCCACTCAGACTGTGGCCTGGTACTGCTCTTAGATTTCAAGGGAAAGGATAGTGGGGCTTGTGAGGGGCTGAGGGCAGAGAAGGGTATGTGTTGGGAAAGGCCACACAGCCACTGACAAAGGTGGGAGAAGGCTGGAGTCTGGCCCAGTCCTTGCAGGGTGGCTGCCCCCAGCAGGCATGCTGCCAGTGATTCCTGCTGTCCTCGTGATGAACTCCGTGTTGTGCTTGTCTGTGTCAGGGATGTGGCCATGGGTAGTTGTGTGTGTGTGTGTGTGTGTGTGTGTGTGTGTGTGTGTGTGTGTGTGTGTGTGCCAGAGCCTGGGGTGTGCATCCATGTGTGTCCTCTGTGTGAATTGAAGCTACTTACTAGCCTAACTGCAGTCACTAACTGCTTTCTTCCTCTGCTGCTGCTGCTGCCATCAAGTTTGAGGCCCCCGGGCCTTTCTCGGAGCAGGCCAGCCTGCTGGACCTCGACTTTGACCCCCTTCCTCCTGTGGCCAGCCCTGTGAAGGCACCCACACCTTCTGGTCAGGTTGGTTGTGCCCAGCACTGCCCATAGTCCACACCAGCCTCAAGACTGGGACCTGCACTTGTATTTTCCCTGTGCTCTTGGCCCTGTAGGCCAAAACCAGGCCCAATTCCACTCATTGTCCTTCATCTGGTATCCTGCTTGTCGACCCTCATCACTCTTTCAGGTGTAGAGAATACAGCAGGCCCAGACCAGCCAGTGACCCTCAGGAGAGGGTAAACTGAGTGTGTTCTGTCCCTTCTGGTCACCTCAGATCTTGCCTCTCTGGGCAGCCACCCTGTGCTGGGCCTCTGTGATCCAGTGTCTGTTGATGGTCCCTGAGGGGCTGGGCCGTGTGCAAACCTCATAGCTGAACTGGGCAATACTGCCCTGGGCCTGCTGGGGCTGGCGTGGGGGGATGGTGGTGGGACTGCTGGTGCCCTGTCTAACCTTAACCCATGTGCTGCCTCTGTCCTTCTCCCCTGCCTGCTGCCCAGTCTATTCCATGGGACCTCTGGGAGGTAAGCTGCTTGCTCAGTTCCCCACTCTGCCCCGTGGGGTGGCTCTTCTGCATGCCCAGCCCTTCTCCCCACCTAGGTGATCCACTCACATGGCACCCTCACACACGGGGCCCTCATTTCCTGTTGATCTGCTGCTTTTATGGTGTCTGTCAAGACTAGGGTTCTAAGCTGAGTGCTGATAATCCTACTATCCAGGAGGCTGACATCTGAGGATCTTTAGCTTCAGTTTCATTCTTATCTTCAGTTTAATCAGCCAAAGGCCATAAGTGATAAAATGCTAGCCTTGATTGAAAAAGTCCAAGACCCAGTACTGGCAAAAATAAAAAAAAAATAAAATAAAAAGACTAGGGTCCTGCTTGACAGGCCCAGTTTGCAGGGCCTAAAGGTATTTATCTGTAGATGGTAGCCAGCCTGTCACCTGGGATTGATGGAGAGTCCTTGTGTTGGGCCGAGAGGCCTGTGAGGCAGGAGGGCCTCTGAGGGAGAGATTTTGGGTGGGAGGATGCACAAGATGGTGTTACAGAGCAGTCTGGCAGTGTGTGGAGGGAGAGTTGCTTGAGTGGCAGGAGAGGCAGGGTGGGATCCAGCTTTCCAAGAGCAGAGGTATAAGTTCAGCCATGCAGGCCAGGGGCTACCATCGCCCAACATCTTAGGATGAGAGAGAGACTCAGGGACTTCTGGGAATGTACTCAGCAACTTGTGCTGGTGGACCTGGAATTCCTGGTCTGGCTCTTGGGATATAGGGGGTGGGCCAGACAGGTGCCTGTGAAGCCCTGGGTGTGGCGGGGAGTGGGGGAAGGGGCGGAGCTCAAGAAGTTCCATGAGAGCTATATACTCTGGGCAGCCTGAGAAAGCAAGGTGAGCATGAGCTCACAGGGGCATGGGTGATGAGTGGATTTCGGCTGGTGCAGAGTGCCTGTTGGTATCTCAGCTGCCTGTCTCTCCTCGGTGATGAAAGGAATGAGGGATCAGGAAGGAGGTGACCCCACTGATTGCTCATCAAATATACCTCAGGCCTCCAGATTCCTGGCCAACACTGGCCATTCATGCCAGTCTTCTCTTGTCTTGTACCCCTGCCCAATCTCTCTTCCACCCGGCCCCACTCCTTCCTTGCTCTCTCCTGGTGGCCTGTCACTAGCCCGCAGAGAGTCCGGCTGGCAGCCTGCCTTCCAAGGAGCCCAGTGTTGCCGAGGGCACCTTTGCTGTGGCGTGGCCCAGTCAGACAGCCGAGCCGGGGCCTGCCCAAGTAAGTGCCTCTGCCCTTTGCCTCTCCATCTGGATTTGTCCCCATCTCTGGCTGTGTCACAAGGATGAAGAGCCAGAGGAAGGGGTGCAGGAAGGGGGCAGGCAACTGTGGGTCCAAGAGTGTGGATGCCGAGTCAGGAGGCCACAGTACAAATGTTACTAGAAGTGCCCAGGGCAAGTGAGCCAGGGGATAGTCACATCCATCCTCTCCTGCTCCCCTCCCCCAGTGCAGGCTCCCTGAGTGAGCTAAGCGAAGCACGCACTGATTTGCGCTAGGCATTTTCCAGAATTTTCTCATTTAGTCTTCAGTATAACTTTGTAGCTAGAGACTTTCTCTCTTGTCGAGACTAGTAAGATGGGGACTGGGATCAGGTTAGCCCAGCTGTGGACCCTTGCGAGGGTACCATGGTAACTGCTATGATTTAGGGTCCATGGGGGAGAAGACATTAGCTCCGGCTAGGCAGAACTACCCTGAGTGTATAGGGTGAGAGCAGATGTCTGATGACAGCCCCAGCCAACCTGGAGGGGCTGGAAGGATGGACAGGAGGAGGGATGGTGAATTCTTGGGGTTTAGAGGGCAGGGTCTATGAGGCAGAGTGGGGGGGCCTCGTTAGGGTTTCTCTGAACATTATATGGCATGCCTATGTCTGCCAGCAACCTTTCTCCAGCTACGGCCTATGCTGGACTGTCTGCTTTGCAAGGGCTCCCGGATTGTGTGAGGTACTTGTCAACTCTGTACCCCCAGGCCAGCCAAGCCGACGTCCCTGGCCTTCCCACTGGCACTCTTGTGGCCCGTTTCCTGTGTCATGGCCCGAGCATCCCTATCCTGTTCTTGACCCCTTACTGGCATTTATGTTGCAGCCAGCAGATGCATCCGAGGTGGCGGGTGGGACTCACCCTGCGGCTGGAGCCCAGGAACCCGGGGAGACGGCAGCGGCGGCAAGTGAAGCAGCCTCTGTAAGACAGCAGGGACCAAGCCCTGTCTTTTCTTCCTTGCTGTCTGTCTGTCCACCTGCCGTCTGTCCAGTACCTGCCTATGGCTACCTTGTGCTCCTTGCCGGTGCAGTGGCTTCCTCCTGGAGATTGGGGCAGGCTCATCTGCACCAGGCACAGATACTCCCCTTCCTCTCCTATGACCTTGGCCCTCCCTTCACTGCCACCTGTACAGTTGACTTGTGCCCTGTCCTCAGAGCTCTCTTCCGGCTGTGGTGGTGGAGACCTTCCCGGCAACTGTGAATGGCACTGTGGAGGGCAGCAGCGGGGCCGGGCGCCTAGATATGCCTCCAGGCTTCATGTTCAAGGTGAGTCCAGGCTAGCTCATCCTACAGCCACTGGCCTAGGCACTTTGGGGGTTGAAGTCACCACTGTTTACAGTGAAGCTTCTGAGCCTGGGGACCCTGTGATTTGCCAGTACTGTTCCTACTCTACCCTTTCAGTTTCCCATCTGGCCATGAGCCCTCATAGCCATGCTATACCAGGATATACTATAAGACCTCTTGGCCTGTGCAGGTTGGAGTGCTCCAACCTGTGCTCCCCACAACTTCTGTAGGTGCAGGCTCAGCATGACTACACGGCCACTGACACAGATGAGCTGCAGCTCAAGGCTGGTGATGTGGTGCTGGTGATCCCTTTCCAGAATCCTGAGGAGCAGGTGAGTAGGATGTGGTCCCAACATCTGGGCTGCACTCGTAGAGATGACCAGCAGGTGGCAGCAGAGATCTACCATCATCCATAGGCTTCCGTGTCTTGGCCCATCAATTGCTTTTCCTTCTTCCTTCCATCCCTTTTCTTTCGCTCTCATCCTGGCCTCTCTTCTCTGTCTTCCTTTCTCTCTTTCCCACTGGAGGCCTCTGTTACATCCCTGGTGTCCTATGTGCTTCCTCCTTTCTTTGGGCTCTGTCAGTTTCCTACATCATCTTCTGCTTTACTTGCCTATGCCCCAAGATATGCCTACTTCCCAGGATGGGGCCCTTCTTGCCCAGGTCCCTTCCTGAGGTGTCTCGTCTTCAGGGGACAGAGAAGATGCTGAGTGTTAGCTCACATCAGCCCAGCTGCCATTTTCTACCTGGCCCTGCTCTGTCCACACAGAACTGTGGGTTTTCCACTTGTGGCCCCAGCCTAGCCTCACTACACACACACCCAGACTGTATTGGCTGCTGGCCTTTTTATGTAGTTCACTTCTAAGGGTAGCCCCTAGCTGGGCCTGGGCTGGCATTCAGTGTGGTCCTGCTAAGCTTGGGCCTGCTGTTTTTGCCCTTGTGGTTGAGGGTACTCAACAGAGTTCTCACTCTAAGTGCCCATGACCTTTTGTGGGGTGTTGATGGTACCCACATGGATGTTTGGGTTCCCCTCCACCTTGTTCAGGCACTGAATGCCCACTGGGGTTCAGTGGAGGCCTAGTTGGCCTCCTGCTTTCACAGGTCATTGTGAATGAATGGTCAGAGTAACCAAGGGTGGGCGTGCGTCTAGCTGGGTCTAGGATGAAAGCCATCTTGAATGGGGTTCCTGAGCTAGGGCTTGGGGATTTGGGGAGGGATGAGCCACAAAGCCACAGGGACTTGGTGCTCACTTGAGAGAAGTCACTGGGCCTGGGATTGTTCAGACCAATGCAGAAGTCAGGCTGCCAGGCTGCCCAGGTAGAGGGCTGAATCCATTGATTGGGCAGGCTGGCTTCTGCAAGGTGGTGAGGGTCTTGGTGCACATGAGGAGAGCACTGACAAGAGGAGGTGTTTGAGAGGCGGACTGGAGGGAAAAGAAAAGCCAGAAGTAGACTGTCCAAGACCTAGCAGATCCTGCAGTGCCATCGTCCTCCAGCCCACTGTGACTTCGATGCTCTCCTTGCCCCAGGATGAAGGCTGGCTCATGGGTGTGAAAGAGAGTGACTGGAACCAGCACAAGGAGCTGGAGAAATGCCGAGGTGTCTTTCCTGAGAACTTCACGGAACGTGTGCAGTGACAACGAAGCTCTTGCAGCCACCTGGGCGTGTGAAGACCGCCTTTCCCGGAAAATGTGTGTTTCTTTTTCCTTCTTTTTGTTTTTCTCCCTCCCCCCTTTTTTTTTTTTCTTCTTCTTCTGTTTTTGTTTTTAAACTTTTGAAATGCAAAGGGAAACGGAGAGAGGAGAGACCTGCAGCCAAGTGGTATTCTCTCAAAGACTAGGTTGTTTTTCCAAAGAACCCAGCCCCGGCTAGTCCGGTGGAATTCGCCAGTGTTCCTGAAGCTGCTGTGTCCCCTAGTTGAGTTCTGGTGTCCCTGCCCACACCCGCATGTGTGCCCGGCCACGGGGCGGGCTGGGGGACCCCAAGCCACCACTGTGCTTGCCTGAAGCTTTGGCCATGCCACCTGGGCAAAGGTCCTCTTCTCCTGGCAGCTGCTGTGGACGGGCCGGGTACCATCCCCATCTGGCCCTGCCCCGCAGAACATCTGTGTGCTGTTTGAAAATAAACCCTAGTGTTCCGAACAAAACAAGAAAAACAAACAAAAACCTGACAGAACCATCCAGAAAGATGCACGTGTGTTTATTTTGCCTCGGGGGATCTTGGGTGTGAGTGGGAAGGGACCGGGTTGTCCCACGCTTTATATTCAGCATCTGTTCCCTGAGGTCCCTCGGCCTAGGCAGTGCTGCAGAACTGGCCATGGACCCCACACCTTGACCCAGAGCCTGTGCCCTGATGGTCACTTGGCTCATCACTTAGAGCCCAGTGATGTGCTTGGGTGATAAAGCTCTGAAAGGCCAGCTCTGTGTCCAAAAGGCCCCTGGGCTTGCCCCAAGTGAGTTTAATACACATGGGGTTTGGGGGGGTGGTGTGGTCAGGAGGCAG